TGTGTCACTTGCTCTCGACCTTGGGTGCAATTAGATGCCAAGCTGTTGCATGCATTCCCCCCGTTGTCTTTTGGGATTCGATCACACAACACACACTTCAAAACAGCCTTGTGAATTCTTTACTTTCCAGCAGCATTGTGGATTCAAGCGGGATCGATTTCACTCACCCTCTTTTGTTAAAGTTAGGAATTGGTGACATTGAAGTTTCTCTCAACATCGTGGCACTAGGATTAGAAATATCAAATTTTTCAATAGGAACCGTTTCTGTCTTGAAAATCATGATAAGAGAGAAATAAATCATGAACTCAGACTTAAAGTTGATTCATCTGTTCTTCACAGGAAATATAGATTTTGATATTGCTTGAAAAACTTTTTGGTATTAAGAAGATAAGCTATGCAATCATTCGTGAATTTTCTCGCAAATCATATTTTTAACTAGTCATAGATCTGAAGAAAAAAATTACCACAGGGACCTAAGTGATAAAAAGCTTTAATTGATCTGAACTGACCACGTTTCAATCAATTAGCCACCCCATATAGACAGGGTTGCAGTTGATATCAAAATGCAGTCTATCAAAATCAATTGATAAGCTTTGATTGCCAATATTTAAGTACGGTATATATTTTTTTCTTTACAAAAATAATCACCATGAATTGTGTGACAAAAACAGATTTTGCTCATTAATGGTTGCATTGACCACATAAATATCTCCCAACTTCTCATATTTGTTATAAAAAAGAGCAAGCCAGGTTCTCTCTTTCTCTGGGATACTTGTCTTGAAAACTTTCAGAACTGCCTTCTCCTTCTTTTTCCCTGCCCTCCCCCCTCCCCCCTCCCCCCTCCCCCTCCCCCTCCCCCTCCCCCCTCCCCCCCCCCCCCCCCATTTTGGCATCTAAGTTTTGAACCAAATAAGGACATTTGAGCCTGTTATTTTTCAGATGATGTAAACCTGATACTGGGTTTAAGGTCAGTCGATTTGAATGTGACAAAGCAATAATTCAGTCCTTGGTCTTCTGGGCTTTGTTAAAGTTGACCTGGAGGCCTTGAAACTTGCTGCAGGTTGAGATGTTATAATTGTATGGGGGTTATTAAGTCATATGTAATATTTACAAATGATGTTCATCTGAATTATATCTTGTTCGTAGTATAGATTTTGTACGGTCAATTGCATAAGTGCATCATCTGTACGTCATATCATCAAAACTCCCTGGAGACATGCTTTTTCTGGAGTTTGATCCTCTTCAACATTGCCCCCTATAGAAGCCTTGAGGTGTCGTTCCCAATGCTCCAACATAATTAGCCAAAAAAGCAATTTCTTTTGACATCATTACACATGCATTGTTATTTCTTCACTTGATTTGAAGTGAGTGACATGCCGAGAGGTAGGCTCATGTTACTGTTTATAGCGGGTCTCATGACTATTTTAAATGCCAATATTCATGGCTAGTATCTCGGCCTGGTGGGTCTCGGCCCTGGGCTTGTGTTTCCTTCTGTCGCAGGATGCCACTTGCATGCCTGATGAGTCTCTCCATGTTCCCAGAACATTGGGGAGAGTCGTTGATATGTCGGAGACAACTTTGAGGACTTTCTTAGACCCTTTAAACCCATCACCTATGGGAATAGGGTGGTTCCTGTATCGAGCCTTAGGCCTAAAAAAAAAATTGATGACTTGGCGTAACGGGTCACTGAAAATTAGGGTAGGTAGGGCGATTTTTTTTTTTTTGTTTTTTTTTTTTTTTGTTGTTGTTGCTGTTGTTGCTTATATTTGCATACATGAAATTAGCCATTCATACACATACATACATACATACATAAATCTTGTAATAGTGACACTGTTTCAGACAACAGCAAATCAGAAAACGGACCACAGTTTTCCTTAGATGCCTTGATGTTCTTAACCACAAAATTATCAGCGGCCAGATCTTGAACGATTTCTCCGATTGTTGCTTCAATGTCCATCTTCCGAAGAACGCTGAATAAAACGTGAGCACCAAATTTACCCGTGAACTGAACGCCATAGGACGCCATGTTGGGGATACAATCGCCTAGCGGTACTATGGCGTACCTGCCCGCTGCACTCGGCGCGCGAGCTGGCCCAAACACGGCGCGGCAAAGCCCAGAACGAAAGCAACAAACATCCGGGTTTTCCCCACTGCGATATCGATATTTACGCAATCGCAATCGGATCAAAAAAAATAAAAAACCGTAGGGTCCGCGATAAAAATAGGGTCGGGCGGGTTACGCCAAGTCTTCAATTTTTTTTTTATTAGGCCTTAGATAGTGGGGAAATTGAGTAGTTAATGGGTTATAAGAGCATCTTTGGTGTTTGACTGTGAAAGCCTTGTGATGTTAAAGCCCATAATAATAATAATAATAATAATAATAATAATAATAATAATAATAATAATAATCTTTTAGTCCACTCCAAATTTTATTAAACCGAAATGAAAATTCTTTTTGCCCAATTGAACGTGAGCCCGGCAGCCACTGAGCAGCGCCAGATTGACGTTGCTCTATCCCTTATTGTTGAACGCCAAACAAGGTAGCAGCAACTCCCATCTTTTAACGTCTTTTGGTATGGCGCGGCCGGGGATCGAACCCACGACCTCCCGGTTGTGAGGCGGACGCTCTACTGACTGAGCCAACACTCCGGTTCCACTGCACTTGTAGCTATACTTGCTCCCTCTAAAGAAAACAATGCCTAAGCGGTGCCTGTTGGTCCCCCATGATCCTCTTCTTATGTTAATTGAGAGCTGATTAATTGACACCTATCAGTGACCACACTGGGTTGTCTAACCCCCCTGGCCAAACTAGTACAGACAGGCTTTAAAAGGAGATGACTAGAAGATGCTAAAGCAACAGGTCCTGAAGAGTCTGTATGTATGCTGGATTAACTCACGGTTGACTGCTTTCCATTCTATGACCACTCTGTGATAATAAGTTTTTTAAAGATCGTGTTAAAAGCATCAACACTTCATAGGAGTATCAACTATCATGTCATGAGGATAAACTACAAAATGTAAGCCCAGAATTCATCTTTTGGCCGTCTTACTATCCCACTAGCCCTATAATGCCATGGACATTGTACATGGTGTACAGTTTCAAAGAATATATGAGCTGGTCTGAAATCCAAACAGAATGTTTATATTTTTTTATTCAATGAATGCAAATTCTCCTTGGAATTATTACAGTAAAGAAGTGTATGCCAAGATTTGAACTGGTCTATTTTTTAACAGCAACCTATAAATGTCATGGTTTAGAAAGGTTTAGAGGAAAGTAGATTTATTAAAAGTGATTTTGGGAGCCGTATAGTTGTTAAAAACTGCTTTTCTTGATGTTTTCATACAGATTCTGTGGTTTATAATGACATTATTGCTGATTAAGGCACCCATCTATAGATTTGTGCATGGACTCCAAATTTGTCCTTTCTGATCTCCCCTCCTTTAGTACCATATGGATAATATATAGTTGGAGGACATCAACATGACTACCCTTTCTGATTTACTGCCTATGATTCAAAGGAAAGATGCATGCCTAATAGCATCGTGGGTGTCGGAGGATATCCGTTAAGAATTTATGAATTCTGTCTACGGAGGCTCCCCTCACTTGCAGATGAATGATGTATCCTATATGCAAAGTTCTCCTTGATTGCAAGATGCTAGATTAGCAGAGCTTAGTGTGTGGTTGGAAAAAAAATCTCTTGTTTGCTACAGTTGTCTAATGGTAGGAAGAAAATAAGAACAAGATAGCTATGATGTAAGCTTATTACCTTTTAAAGCTTATTTTAGTCGCTTCAAAGTAAGGTACATGTAGGTCAGTTAAAGGAAGTGGCCTGTAAAGATTTATCCGGAAGGAAAAAAAGCATAGTTGTTGAATGCCATCAGTTCAGAGCCAAAAGGGCATTAACTCTGTGTTAAAGTTTGAGTTAACACCCTTCTGGCTCCCAGTAGACAATTATAGCTAAGAGGTCATTAGAACACTGAGCTAGTAAATACCTCTACTACCTTGATGGGATAAATAATATTGATACTGTCATTCAGACAGTTGTACTTTTAGTTTCTCTGAATAACACCTAAAATTCCAACTTTTGCTTTACGGATGCATCGATCATAACGTGTCACTTCATTTTGCTAAACTATTTAAACAATCTTTTAACATTAGTGAAGACCTAATCTCATTTCTTTGCTGTACACAAATTCAAATGTTTTATACTGATCCCAATGCTCAACCTAGCTTTCCACTGAAGTCATCTGCATGTAGCTAGCCACTTATATCACAAACATCCAAGACCTGTTTACGTCATTTGACTAGACAGGAGTACAAAATCCCATCTGCTGGGTCTTTCCCTAGATCGCTACCTTTTCACAATAGCCGGAAGCAAGGCTGTGTGAAACACTCTGGGTTATTTGAGATCATAACCGTGTTCAGACCATAGAAAGAATGTACTCCCCTCAAGTGTGAACTCAGTTGTGAGCAGTGGCAGTGCAGATGTTTTTTTTAGTGACTTCCAAAAATGAGGAGCACTACTTGTGAGATTTTTACTCTCAAGATATCAATAAACAAGGCTTAATTTCACAAACTTGATATTCAATATTTGTTTGCTGTTGTGTTGTTATTTTTGTTGTTGTTAATTTCTCCAACTTAGTAATTTCATTTATACTAGAATGAATGGATGAATGATTACAGGATAAAAAGGATAGTAGAGAATGAATAAACACATGACACATATGGTTAGATTCATGAATGTACAGTCTGTAAAACTACAGTATGTCACTGTACGGTGCCTTTAATGTCAGAAACACTAGCAATCATTGAGGGTGTAATTGGCAAATTAACAATCCATGTCATTTGAAATCCTGAAATAACCTTGAATTTATCAACACGTCATTTACACTGTCACTATCATAGGTATATGTATAACATGTATGCTTTTGTTTGGCTCTCGATAATGAGAAAATTAATTAAGTTGTTTCTCTTCTCATTTTATTCGACCTGATAGGACAAGGAAGAACTGCAGGTGAATTACCCATCCATGTATGAACTGATGCATGACCTTAAAGGCATGGCAGAGAGCAATGCATCCTGGTCCAGGAAAAACTATCTTCAAAGAGATACTATGGCCGCTGCAGCTGCAATTTATAAAGGTATGGTGACTATAAAGGCATTGTTCAAGAGCCTTTATCTTATTCTGTACTTTTGTACTACAATACAGTTGTATTGAAATTGTTATATACAAACCGAGACAAATTTGCTTTGGCTCAGGTTTTTTTCAGTATCGTATGTTCATGTAACCTTTCCCCCATGCCCAAAGCTCTTCATGTTTACATCTCATGTATTATTAAAAATGCCATTAATGTAATCGCCCATATAAAATCAATGAATAATATAGACATAAAGAGTTATAAAATATGGATGAAAATAATGATGCCCTTTACAGCCCCCGATGATAATCCAACCGATGAGGATCTGGAGACAAATATTTGTAACTCCCCCTCACATCCCCCTTCATTAAAAGTTTGAGAAGAAGAAAAATTGAAGTAGGATGTTGACTAGTTAGGGTAAAGAAAACTTTACCCCCCCCCTTCCCTGTTGTTGACGTTAAAGAACTCCCCAAAACCTGAGACTACCATGACGAAAGACTAAGATTGAAACCTAGTTGAGAGACTATTCACGGTGCTAAGCGAGCAAGGTTCAACCTGCAAATTTAATGATACAGAAAAACAACAACCTAAGTTTCATGGATTATGTTCTCACAGCATGAACCAATCAATCACAACAACATGCAGGCATGAAATAAAAACAGAATATATGAACATATATATCAGCCTAATCTTACATAATCCTGGTTTACACAGGATACTGTCACTTTCTGCTGTTCCATAAAACATGTACAAACCTAAATCCAGTCCCAAAGTCAAATTGACTCAAATTTCCCCTTCTTCATAACCCCTATATTAGGCCCCCCCCCCCCCCCAAAAAAAAGAAGATGTATTGCCCTTCGCGACCGACCCAAAAATCTTGAAATCTACCGTCGGCTTTAAAAAAGAATGTATTAAATCATCAAAACTGAGAGATGTCAGCCCAAAGAGGGAGTAAAAAAGAATTTTTTAATTATTAACAAGAAAATAATTCTGACCGACCGACCCATGATTTTGCACCTAAAGAGCAACACAACATCTTTTTTTTTGTTAGGCCTTAGATAATACATTTAGTTATGTTTTTATCTTACACTCAAAGCCTCAAACAAGTTTCTGCATGTTTGATAATAATAAAACTGCTCAAAATACAAGACCAGCAGGTCATGTGACTCATCTTTCTAAACTGACCTAATTTGCATACCGGTACCTTGCCATTAAAAATATGGCAACCCTCTACAGAATCTTATAACTATTTTACCTTTTATAATTCATGTAAAATGTACAGCATAGTTTAAACTGGCTCATAAGTCAATAACGGTTGTTTATACATACATGTGCAAATCATCTTTATCTAAGATATGCAAATTCAACTTGGCTTCGAACGTTTCACTTTCTGTGAATGTACACAGTACAAGGCTAAGTTAATGCATAACTCGCCAAACAAATACACGCTTTAATTCATAACGGACCATACTTATCGTGCCCAACGTATTCAAATAGAAGAAACCATTATTAAATGCCATTGCCATACATTTGAAAGTAAAACTTCAATTTTCACTAATAACTAGTAATTGTACACTTACAACATTGGGTTTATCAAAGAACAACAAAATTAGCGGTGAATCTCAGGTTCATGTCTGTTCATACTAACACACATGTTACTGCAGCGAAGCATACAGCTCCCGCTAGAGGCAAACTTAAAAAATCTCTAAGTAACTTCTCGCTTCTGACGTCATCTGACATTGTAATGATGATGACAATTTACATCCCCCCCCCCCCCCCCTCTAGCCTTCTCCAATCTCAAATGTTTGGGGAACCTCTAATGAGAAAAAGATTTGAAGTAGTATGTTTAAAGCAAGTTGGGTTGAAAAGGCTTAACAACTCATCCCCTTCCTCTCTAAGTCCAGTTTTATCTTAGAAGCAGATGAATATATATGTGGTAAAAGGGTCAGAAGTAGGATATTGACAGATGGTGGGGAGGAGAAAAATAAACATCTTACCTCCCCCCCCCCCCCCCCCCCCACCTCCCATTTCTCTCTTATTTTGTTTCTAAAGCATATAATTTAGGAAAAGAAAATGATGTAGGGCATTGGCATTGACCCCTTCCCATAATTCCACTCAAAGTAAAATTAAGCATACAAAGCTGAAAAGAATAGAGGAATAGTAGAGAAGGAGAAGAACGCCTTTAGTGCCTTCCCTATTCCACAAAATTCCAATTTGATTATGAAGCCGTTACAAAAAGTATGAGAGGGAGAGTAAAAGTAAGAAGTTGATACGAAGTGATGAAGAGGAGCCCCCTCTCACACACCAGTTTGTTTATGAAGTCCATGAGGATGAGAAGGAGAGGGACAAGTTTTTGCATTATTCATCCTTCCACTTCACCTTCAAATCCTCATCTCCCCCAAGATTGGCAGCAATTACAGAATCTGACCCAGTTTCTGAAAAGTGCCCCCTCGGAAGAGAGATCCTCTTTGTAGGTCTTTGGATTTTTTTTTTGTTAACGAGAGGTTAAACGGTGATCACAGGAGCGGCCAAATTACTCCTGCCAGCATGAATTCCAATGCAATCCCAACATGAATGTTTCATGAGCAGCCAGCCCCATGTTCCACATCCCCCAGCTGAAGTTCCCCGTCATTAATATTCATTGATCGTTTCTTTGTTGTTCTTGAGAACGAAAGAAAGCCGGGAGAACATGGGCATGTGACTTCATGCATATCACATGCTACTTTGTGATGGTTGCGATAACCAATGAATATAAATGATCGCTTTTACAAATTTAAGAGGAAATCTGACACCCAATGCTTCCTCAAAACGGATTTGAAGCTCTTGGGCTGGGAACAAGTAACCAGTTAATCACCACATCTCTTTTTTTCTTTTTTTAAATTGGAATTGTATAACTGTACTTTACAAACTTCCTTGATTGCAATGGACAATGCTTCAGGTGATAGCCATTTAAACTAGCATTTAAACTCAATCACATTTTGATGTAGCTAATGTTTCTCTGTATGAAGTTGAATCATTCCTTTCTTTTTTATTCTTTTATCCTAATTCAGGGAATTGATGGTTAATTTATTTTTGCATTTATTATGTATTTATTTGGTGGGGGGGGGGGGGGGGGCGGGTTGAAAAACTTTTAAATATATATGTACATGTATGTTTCTGATTTAACCCTTGTCTTATAGTGTGATGATAAGTGCATTCATGATTAGCCACAGTATGTGTCTTTGCATAAAAAATGTATGTGTTGCTTCATTTTAATATTTATGAATCCTTATAAATGACTTTCCTTGTATAATTCCACAAAGGCATTGCTAAATTGGTTTACAAGAGCAGGTCTTAATCCTGACAATTAAGTGCTGTATTATACAATCATACCTCACTTTGTTGTGGCTATCTCATGACCTATGAGCGTACTGGAACCTTCCCTAAATCCCAATCCTTCCTTCGATCCCACAGATATGTACGGGAATGAAGATGGGTCCGTACCAGCTACTTTTCAAGTCATCTTTATGATTGGTTGGAAACCTGACAAATCACAGGTAAGAGTCTCATTAAATCCTTGGTGTGCCACCATCATGAATGAAATTGCACAATTTAAGTTTCTGTGCTGTTTTGTAATATCAATGGGCTCTAGATGACTTTGGTAGGTAGTACTTTTTGAGTCACCAAAAGCCCTTTGAGATTTGAGTGATGTTTCTCTTTCTAAAAACAAAAACAAAAATGATAATAAAGTCAATTTAAAAAATAATACAATGCATATTTGTTTTATAATTATCACAAACCGTTGAAGTATCAGTACTTTACTGCAAAAACAAACAAAGAAAACAAGACATAAAATAATAGGGGGAAAAAAGTTTAACAAATCAACACAAAACAAACTAAAACAAAATATGTAGAATTTTTTTTATTTAAAAAAAAAAATTTATATGTAGAAAGTTCAAAAAAACATGATCACTAATCAGTGCACAGGTAAATGAAACATCAGCATACATGTGTTAACATTTGGTGGAAATGTATATGGTGTCCACCTTGTACTGTTTTCTTAATACACATATTATGACCATTCTACATGCATGTATAATGATCACATTTAATTCACAAAGTCTTTGTGGAGGATTCTACAGTTTTTCTTTTTACTCTGGAGAAATTGATATTCGATTACCATCATCAAATAACACATTGACTGTTCAGAGTGAAGGGTAAATTGTCAGCTAAAGTGCTCTGCATGAAATGTTAAGTTGTTATCAGCTTTAACTAAGGATGCTTCAAAGTGAGTTTTCTCCTTAGAAGTTGGTTAAATTAGGCTCACAAAGTGCATGTGCTATTTAGCACATTCTTCTTTCTGTTTAGGGACCTAGCATATTTAACCAGCAGTCCAGCTTATAAAAAGATCCATTCCTCTTTTTAAAAACAATTCCCTTTCCTGTTATTTAATTCATAGGTTAATTCACTCATCCCAAGCAAGGTTTCAGAAAGAGGAAATCTAGGTTATAGGTCATTTTCATTGAGGAAGTTTGAAGTTTGGGAGGCTCGTTCCATCTGTATTTAGATTAGATTAAAAACAAATTACTTTTTGCCTGGCAAAAGGGCAAGAAGACAGAGTAGGTGTCGTATTTGTTACCTTCTTGATTTTGTAATGAAAGGATGAAGAACTAGTGTGGAAAACAATGAACAAAGTGAAATGAGCTGTGTAGATGGTGTCAAAGAGAGGTCGGAACTTTAAAAAAATGATTTAATATTTCTAGAAACTCTCATCCGCTGGCCTTGCTTCAGTTTGCGCCTCTCTGCCCGGCGAACGACAAAATGATTATTGTACTTTGACTGACCCCCTTTCTGTGGATGATTATTAAAATGGGTCTCACCTGAACATGAGGGGAGGCCCAGATGTTCATTGTAATCAAGGCCAAGATCGTCGCTTTGATATCCTGATTGTATCTTATTCATAAAGTGCTTTATAATGATGCTCTTTAGACCAAGGATGATCCAATATTGATCATGCATGCCCTTGCCCTTACTGATTAAATCTGCATCAGGCAGGTGTGCAGGAGGGATAGGTGCTTTGTTGGATGCAGAAACTTAAGCAGCTTACTCTGTTTTTTATTAAAATCTGTCTTCTTTGGGGATTATATTATTATGAGATCACAAGCATTTCAGAGCAAAACAGTGGGTGATTATTTAAAGTTCATGGAGTAAGGGTATCATTTCTGAAATCAGGAGGAATGAAAGAGGCAGTTGTAATATAAAGTTTTTTTTATCTGTATGTGCTGGTCATGGTGATACCATAGTAAGGTGAGTATGGTAAATTGATGCAATAGATTGATTCATTGCTTTAGATAAAATTGGTGATTAGTGAACATGTACAAAAGTTATCGTGTTGCCATCCTTCTTTAAAACACCATTGTTTTTATCTAAAAAATAACGATGAATTTTGCTTCTTAAGCAGACTGCAGGTAAAATTCTTCTTCTCATAACTTTAGAACATTTGAGCTGTTTGAATATAGGTAATAAGTTTTCTTTGAATTTGTTGCTTTAGATTAACCCTCACTATCAAACAGAACCCATATGTTGGAGAGTCTGTCGGTCGTATTGCCATTACTTACAATGTTGACAAGCGCATTGTCCCTTTTCATGTATCCCGGATATTAAACATGATTTATTTAATGAAAGTTAGTGTAGTTTTGTATAACTTTTGTAAACTCATTATGAAAAGACATGAGTTTATTGGACTGGACATGACAGAAATTAAATGAAAGTGAGCTCTCTTCAGAATTGCATTTTTTAATAAATTTTTTCTTTTCTTGTTGCCCTACCTACATGTAAATTTGAAACAAGGAAGACAATGAACTGTTATGATTAAATTTGAAAATCTAATCTGTAACAGAGTAACAATGGGAAAAGTATATAGTTACACTTTGTCATGATAGCATGTTGTATCATAATTGGCTTAATTTGTTAATGTTGTGTAGTGGAGGGAATCCAAAGTCAATGAAATGAAAATTAGTGTAGTTTTGTATAACTTTTGCATAACTAATTATGAATAGACATTAGATTATTGGACTGTAGATATGAAAGAAATTAAATGAAAGTTTGCTCTCTTCAGAATTACCTATTCTTATCTTTTCTTTTCTTGTTGCCCTACCTACATGTAAACATGAAACAAAGGGAAACAATGAACTGTTATGATTAAATTTGAAAATCTAATCTTTAACACAGTAACAATAGCAAAAGTATATAGTTGCACTTTGCTATAATAGCATTGTTCTAGCATGATTGGTTTAATTTGTTAATTTTTTGTAGTGGAGGGAATCTAAGGTCAATTTGGTCATTATGAAATATCTCAATTTGTAACCTTGCCTTTTCATAGTAATTGGATCAAAGCCTCTTCTCTTTATTTAGTAGAATCTAAATTAGCATTCCAAGTAACTAATTAATGCCCTTCCCAATATTAGTTCCTAACCCAAGGGGCTTAAAGGTATGATCTGACTTTGTTTTAAAACCATCTTTACAAGACTTATGCTCTATCTATGCACTACTAATACGATTGCTCCTTAAAAATGTCAGTTAAAGGTTATCGATAATAAATACTGTTAAAAAATGATTATAGACACAATCCTGTTGGATGTCCACTAACAAAAGTGGTTACTTGGATACCATTTTGCCACCTTATTATCCCAACATTGAATTTAATTTGTCCCTCCTCATTACGACTCCAGGTTTGACCTTGCCTCGACTTTGCCTACTCAATGCCAGGGCCAATATACCTGTTGCAATTTATCCTACTAATTATGTTTAGATTAAGCAGAAATGAATATTTGACGTTTTTCCATGAGCATCTTTGGATGGTATTGACCATGATTGATTCATGGCAGGAGGATTTGAAAGCAGAGATCAGGAGAGCAGAACCAATTAATCTATCAACTTGTTTCAGGGTATGGTCCCGGTTTATTAAAGCTTGATTATGCGCATCAGTGTGTAAAGGCAACGGGACCTTCGGGTTTGGGAACGTGCTGATAATCAGCTCCAGTGTCATCTGATTATTGTTTCGTCTGATTAACTCTTCTTAGGTCAAACCAAGCCAGTTTGGTTGTGTTGGCTGTTCTATACTATTTCCACCAAGCAGGATGAATCAATCACACTTGACTTCATTCACTCAATAAACTAACTGAGTTAGAAGTAAATATAAAAGCATGAGAATTGTACTAGGATAAACAATTTCTGTATTATAGTTCTCCAATATACCATGGCTTTTAAAAATATTGCCTTGAGAGGAAATGAGAACAAGGTTGTAACAAACAATGTCAATTTGAACAGAGAACCCTAATTAAAAGCAAGCAATAATCCAAAGAGGATGAAAACTTCTTGGAATTTGTGTTTACCGGTATGTACAGATTACATGACAATGTGCATTTTAATATATACCAGTCATTCTTTTTTCTCTTTTTTTTCTTTCTTTCTTTCTTTTGTCTATCCAGCTTTAGTCTTTAGAGCTTTTTCATTGGTTGATAACATTTTCTTAACATTGCAGATGATTTGTAGTTCATTTGTGCAAAGGAATCTGGAAAATAACTTATTGATTTTTTGTTACATTTGTATCAAAAGATACATGTGCCAGATGTATTGATTTTCCTATCCATGATTTGCATTGTAATACTTACACAAATATTTGACAGGAATTAAAAATCAAAGCTTTAACTCTTCCCAGTCTATTGTTTGAAGCCCACATTTCATTGGTACCTCCACAGAGGTTCATATAGCAGTGTGGACACAGTCGTCTTGATGTTCATATACCGGTACACTTGTGACACATTTGAATTTATATCCTGTGTAGGTTTTACATTTTTGTTACCTCTCATTTGTTCAATTTGTTCAATTTCTGGAGAAATTTTTATCAGTTCGCTTTCTATTAGCTAATAACAATGAGTGAATTCTGAAAAAATATAGATGTAACAAAAACCAATCAGCTATTTATTTGTGCATGTATGTATGATTAATTGCAGAGCAGAATACAATTTTTCAAGTTCAACGTAAGAGTAACTCTCTGCTTCCTGAAGACAATTAAATAAGAAGAAAGTCGATGATCATGACTGACAAAGAAGCACACATTTGCTCCTAAAGTTGATAAAATGTTCATTCATCATATTATTTATCAAATTTATTTGATGCATTTTTTCAGGGTAATTGGGTTTGCTTCCTGGGTGCCGTCGTGACTGAGTGGAAATTATGTAACTGATGAAGCTAGGTTGAATATCAACTAAACATATTTTGTTCACAAAAGCTGAAAAACATCGAAGCTTGGGTTGTCCTCATTTCCTCTAATTTGAACGGCCTCCCCGATTCCAGGTCAGTGCATGGAAGAGCTTCATGCAGCAGTCTGGGGGGAGAAAAGGTTTGAAGCCTTGCGTCGAAGATAACGAATGAAACACCCGTCTTGCCACTTTTCATTACCAGCGGAAAAGTAAAAGTGAGTGGTGATGAGACCGGTGCGGTGTTCTACCTGTTTCAGAGGATGCTAGAATAATGACGAATTGATTTACTGGAATCCCAAGACCACTATAATCTATATCGACGAGTTAGAGGAGGATGCATGCCGTAAATCAGGAGCTTTGCAGAGCAGGTCGAACATTCATGGGTTTATTTCTAGGGAGTTTGAAAGGGGAATCGAATGAATAATGCATTGCAGATGCTGTGCATGCTTGGTATCTGATGCGTGCGTGCATGGAACCGACTTTGAAGCGAAATATGCTAAAGAAGAATCTCTTTATCCCTTATCATGCTTGATTGCTTAAATTTGGCAAAGATAATCATGAATACAAAGAATACATCATTAGTACTACAAATGTATGAGAGTGATATTTGCGGACTA